AGTGGTGGTAGTATCAGTAGTAGTATTAGTAGTATTAGTAGTAGTAGCAGTAGTAGTAGTAGTAGTAGTAGTAGTTGTTGTAGTAGTAGTAGCAGTAGCAGTAGCAGTAGCAGTAGCAGTAGCAGTAGCAGTACATTGTAGCGCAGTCGTACAAGAGTGCAGTCTTAGCAAAGTCGTAGTACAGTAGTAATAAGGCAGTAGTGCAGTAGTAGTAGTAGTAGTCGTCGTCGTCGTCGTCGTAGTAGTAGTAGTAGTAGCAGTAGTAGCAGCAGTAGAGGTCACAGTAGTAGTCGTTTGTGCTGTAGCCGTACAGAAGTACAGTAGTGGCAAAGCAGTAGTGCAGTAACATTGCAGTAATACAGTAGTAACGCAGCAGTTGTGCAGAAGAAGGGTTTACTTGGCGGGGAGGTGGCAGGCGCTTAGGGGGCCCCAAAACCTTTGCCAAGACTAAAAACCGTGAATTTTGAAGTTTTTGACCAAGCATGAGGCCTGCAAAAATGAGTTTTCTCCGACCTCTGGTTCTCCTCTGTTGAGTGTGACCATCGCAGTACCGTAGGAAGGGAAACAACGTATTCGTCCATGATTTGGCTCATTCCAGAGGATTGCCGAAAAAACAAGCACCAGAAGAAGCATCAAAGATGGTCACCTAATTGAACCCCGCGCCACATGAACGATCACATCAGGAAAGGTAGCTGAGTGTATTCCCAAGCGATAGTTCGTCAAAACGTGCGGGTTTTCCCCAGCTCGCCCGTGGAAGGGATTATGGGAGGAAGGGTGTTGTAGGGCATGCCCTTTAGAGCTCAGTGGTTGAGGGCTTCAGGATTCAAATTTAAGGGGTTCAAGGTTCGGCAGCACGGCAGCCCTCCTACGCAGCTTGCCGTCTGAAGACCGTTTTGCACGTGCGCATACATACACACATGTTTATGTATTTATAAGTTTATAAGTATTCGTACCAACAGTTGTGCATATCAGAATATGTTGCAGGCGTAGAGATGGCCCAAGTGTGTGTGTGTGTGTGTGGGAGGAAGCGATCCTCACAGCTGCAGATGCCGGCCTCAATGAGGAGGAGTCCTCCTCCTACTGCTTTTCCGGCTACTAAAGCCCTGCTTCACTACCCATTTCTAAACTCCCTACTCCTTTATTATTCCTTTCCTTGGTTCCCAGCGCCCGACTCATGTGTTCACTTGTTCCAGCACTCCATTGCTCCCCTAGTCCTACTCCTCTATGACTCCTTCTGCAGCTCCTGCTGCTACCGCTGCTGCTGCTACCTCCGGTTCCACTATGTGCTGGTATTACTACTACTACTACTACTACTACCACCACCACCACCACGACTACTACTACTACTACTACTACTACTACTACTACTACTACCTACTACTACGACTACTGCTACTGCTGGTATTACTACTACTACTA